ATTAGTTTAGTGGAATTAGCAGTGGTGGGCACAGTTCCCTTAAAGCCCTAAAGCACTAATAGGGGAACTAATTTCCTTATTAGTGCTTTAGGGCTTTTGCTAATTTTAAAATTTATTAGTGGATTAGCACTTGCTAAATTTATAGGCTAAATTTCGAAGCACTGAGGTTATTGATCAATGTTAATGTTAACAGCTGATGGTGAAAAGTGTCACACATTTTGTTCATTTGTGTCACTGATCCACCAGGTGACAACATATTAACAAAATATGAACTCAAATACAGCTGTGGCATGTCTATGATAAGTATAAAGAGAGAAACATGGTAATCTGTGACTCATGTTGTCTGTTGAAGAATTTTCATGGGTTGACTGAGTTATTTTAGTGCTTTACAATTAGCTTTAATAATTTTAAGTGTGTTAGTGCTTTAGGGGACCTAAATATTTGAGTTAGTGTTTCAGGGCTAGTGAATTTTTAGATTAGTGCTGCCCACCACTGGTAATTAGCATTAGCAGTAATAATAGCAGCACTGAGAGATTTCAAAAAGAAAAATGTTTTGAAGGGTTTGAATGCATTTTATTTTTGTAGAAAAACAGAAAAGTTACAGCTCACACCAAACATCTCAGCACTGATCTCCTGAATGAGCTAAATGTTTTGATGAACTGTTAAAACAGAACAAAGTCAACAGGAAGTTTTTAGATGCCAAAAAAACAACAAACAGGAAGTCCTTGATATAAACGTTGACTCAGATTTCCCACAAACAGCTGCTGATTAAGATCAAAGTAAAACTAAAACCTAAACTAGATACCGCATAGTGCTAGCATATGACCCCCGCACGTACACACAAAGTACCGATGCACCAGAACTCACCAGAACAGGTTTAATATTTTGGGTGGGGGTCCAGAGTTCATAACTAGATTCTTAACTGGACCCTAAAACTCAAACTGTATCAAACTGAAGGCTGTGTCACAAAATGTGGACCAGCACAAGTGAACCAGTCCTCACAAAGGCATGGAAACAAGAACACACACACACTCACAAACAGAAAAGTTTACCCACCCACACCAGACTCCCTTAAAAAAAGCCTAATTTTAAAATGAATATGATGAAAAGCAGATCTGCCTTTAATGTAAAAGCTGATAAAAAGATATTCTCACATTGTGAGGATGCGCTCCAGCATTCAGCATGTGTGTTCTCCACCCAGCAGCTTTTACCGAGTTATAAATGTCATCTGTTGTTTCACACCGCTCACAGCCGCCCACCGACACCGAGGACCGACCATCTGGACGATTGTTGTCCAGACGCTCAGAGTCCGGCCTCGCTGCAACAAAAAGGTTTCATGTGACCTGAAGATACAACGCGACGGCTGCAGGTCTGCGGGTCTTCTCTGAAAAGGTCATGTGGCGCCTAATGAGGAGGGGGAGACCTTTTCTCTGGAGCTAAATTTATCCCAACATCACTTTATAACAAAAGATCTAGGAGGACTTGAAATGGACAGAAAATGAGTTTTTATTTCATTCTACAGACATGAAACAAGTATTTCATGTGAGAAGATGACTTTGAACTGATGGACCTGACTGCAGCTCCAGTTCCTGGGTTTTCAGTGGGAGGATCACTATAAACAGGCTTCTTATGTAACACACTGACCTCAAATCAGCTCTTATTATAACAAAAGAGCTCAGAGTGAAAATGAGCTGCTGATGTTCAACGTTTCAGCTCCTCGTGAATCTGAGTGGTCTTCACCTCATGTTCCTCTGACTGAAACACAGTCTGAGGCTGAACATCCGAAATCCTCCTGAACTTACAAAACCCTGCTTAACATCTGAAATCCTACTGAACGTCTGAAATCCACACAAACCCTCTTTTTAATCTCGTTTTATTTGATTTTATTTTATTGTTCTTTAAATAAAATATTTTTCATTTCATTAGAATGACATAAAAATAATTAAGAACAAGTTTAAAAACACCTGTAGCAGTGACAGGTGTATCCTGACTGTCAGCTGCAGCTTGATGTCCTCTCATGTCCTCTCATGTCCTCTCATGTCCTCTCATGTCCTCTCATGTCCTCACATCTGAAACCCCAGATCATTTCAGCAGTATTCCACCAAACTTCCAGCTGCAGTAAGTTAAATGACTCATTTTATCTGAATTTGAAGTTTTTTCGTCAGACAGACAGAATACAGACTGTCTTCCTGAAAACTGAAACCAAAATAAGAAGTTGATCTGACCGTCTCTGTGCTGATATCTGCTGCAAACACTTAATGAGATGATCTTCAGCTCATAAACGCTGTTGTCATGGAGACAGAGTTTCACCTGGAAGAACCAGCCGAGAGCTTCTGGACCTGAAGCTGAAGTCTACGACTCTATGGTTTGTGTAGCTCTAACAACTAACTTTGACAGATAAAACACAGGTTCATCCTCTGAGGATTAAAGCTGAGTCAGGCTCATCCTCTGAGGATTAAAGCTGAGTCAGGCTCATCCTCTGAGGATTAAAGCTGAGTCAGGTTCATCCTCTGAGGATTAAAGCTGAGTCAGGTTCATCCTCTGAGGATTAAAGCTGAGTCAGG